CGGGCGTCGGGCCGCTCACGGCCACCCCACGGTGTCCGTCGCACCCCTCCGCCCAGCTCCCCGGCCCTACGGCCAAGGGCTTTGTGATTGTCCCCCCTCCCGGCGCTTTCATCAACACTCCTGCCTCAGCCCAGTAGCCCCAACCACCCCACCTCTTCACCTTGGCCCCGGCCACGGTCCTGAGTGCCCTCCTGCCCCTGGCAACATCCTCCCCTTCCGCCCCCCTGCTCCTCAGCTCCGCCCTTGACCAGAGAGCTGGCCCTTCCTCCCCGCCGGCCCAGAGCGATTTGTCCTATCTCAGGGGCACCCCCAGCCCATCCCCGACTTCCCCAGATGCAGGCCTGCCTTCCGGCTAACACCAGCTGCTCTCCTAGGCCGGCTGCAGGGTAGCCGTGACCTTCTTCCTTTATTTCCTGGCCACCAACTACTACTGGATTCTGGTGGAGGGCCTGTACCTGCATAGCCTCATCTTCATGGCCTTCTTCTCAGAGAAGAAGTACCTGTGGGGCTTCACGGTCTTCGGCTGGGGTACGCAGGCGCGGCGGGCAGCGAGGCGCAGGAAGGGGTGGGGCCGCGGGCGGCGGGGTCAAAGGGGCCGCTAAGGGTGAGGCGCCGCACCGCCTCTCCCCTCCCGGACGTGGGGCAGCCAGTGGGTGGCCTGCCCGCCCCCCTTCTCTGAGTCTGACCCCATCCCAGGCTCAGGCGACAGGGCTTGGCTGGGGTCAGAGTTCACCCCTGGGCTCAGCCTGGGGCTGGGGCTCACCTGGGGGCAGATTCACCTGGTGTTGAGGTTCAGCCCCGGAGAGGGAGGGAGTGTTCTCAGGTCAAGATTTCAGCTCGGGATCAGAGTGGGATGGTGGGTCAGAGGTCACCCTAGGGCGGGAGCTGAGGTCTGGGACACTCCCTGCACCGTGAGCCCTGCTTCCCTACCAGTCCCCTCACTGCGTGGGGCTGTCCACACCACTGCCACCTGGCCTGCAGGAGCCGTGACCCAGAGCCCCAGGCCCGACTCTCGGCATCCTCCGTGCTTCGGCAGCCCCTCTGCAGAATGGGTTGCTGGGGCTCTGCACTCCTCCCCCACGGGTTCCAGGATGGAGTTACCGATAATTGTCCATTATTGTTGGCAGCTCCCGAGCTTGGCTGGGCTCCGGGGCAACTGGCCAGACTGCAGAGGGGTAGGCCTGGTGGCTGAAGCCCTCCCTGCACTCGGCACCCAGAAGCTCTCGGGTCAACAGCCACAGCCCCTTGGCACACACTCTGACCTTGACCTCACCCACGGCAAGCCCCAGAGTTGGGGGAGACCTGGGCCTTGTCCCGGGGACTGACCTGTGGACTCTGGGGCTAGAGGGTGTCGGGATGGGCAGGAGACACACAGATCTGGAGCAACAGAACTTGGTGACACAAGAATGTCATAGCTCTTCTTCCCACCGTAAACCCGGGTCGCACCCTGCCCCTCCCAAGGGTGCACCTCACCCAGAATGAAGTGTGAGGGGCTGGAGGGTGGAGGCAGAGCTCACTCAGAGGTACCATGTGCCATCTGGGCTGACTCAGGCCTGGGAACACCAAGGTTCCCCTGTGGCTTTTACTCAGCCTGGAACAACTGTCATTCCATCCAGCCTCATCCATGGGGGCTAGGACCTTTCAAACTGGGTGTGTGTGTTGGGGGGGGAGGTGTTGGGGCAGAAAAATGCTGGTCCTAGGCCCCTCCCCCACAGGAACTCCCAGTCCAGAGCCTAAAGGGAAGGGGGGATTGGACTGAGCGTGGGGAAGTTAGCGATGCCCTGTTTTCCCGTGAGCCCGACAGGCCCGCGTGTGTGGGTAGGAGATGCAGAACCAAGATGAGGGCGGAGGGCTGACGGGTCCTGAGTGCGGGAACCCCGGGAGGAGGCCGTGGGGGAAGCAGAGCGGCCCCCACCAGCATGTGGCTCTGTCACCAAGCAGCCCATGGGCCCAGGGGGACGGGGCTCAGGGACAGTGAGGGGGTCAGCTGGGGGGTCATCGAGGATGAGAGGAATGGGCTGGCAAGGTGGGCTGAGGGGAGAGACACCATGGGCAGCGCCTGCGGACCCTCACACGCTGCCCCCTCTGCGTCCACAGGTCTGCCCGCTGTGTTCGTGGCTGTGTGGGTCAGCGTGAGAGCCACCCTGGCCAACACGGGGTAGGTCCAGGCGGAGCAGGGGGCCGCGGGGCCAGGCCACAGGCCAGAAATACCACTGGCACGCCCTTCCTCTGTGAAGCATGGCGGGGTGGGGGGGGTGCTTCCTGTGCCCTGGCCCTGAGTGGGCCCAGCTTCAGTTTTCTATCCAGCCTTGAGCCAGGCACCCCCTCAGGGTCAGGCTGCTTCAAAAGCAGTGTCTGAGGGGGGGGCCTCAGGCCTGGCCCTACCCAACACCCCCCTGTCCTTTGTCCCTCCCAGCTCTGGGGCCACTCTGTGGGCAGCCTCAGGGTGGGAACAGAGGGGTGGGAGCTGATGCCTCGGCTTCCCCCAGGTGCTGGGACTTGAGCTCCGGGAACAAGAAGTGGATCATCCAGGTGCCCATCCTGGCCTCTATTGTGGTGAGGAGGGGTGGCAACAGGGCTGGGTGGGGGCGTGTACTTGGGGGGCCGGTGACCAGCCCCTGACAGGGACTATAGAGGCTTCCTGGGACCCCAGGGTTGGAGCCACGGCCCTGAGTCCAGTCGGGGAGAACAAGGGCCCACTTGGAGACGCAGGGGCAGAGCAGAGCCTGGGCGGGTCCGTGGGTCCCTGGGCCCTCGCCCCCACCCTGCTAGGGTGCAGCTCGAGATGCAGCCCTCCCTCACTCCCACAGCTCAACTTCGTCCTCTTCATCAACATCGTCCGGGTGCTCGCCACCAAGCTGCGGGAGACCAATGCCGGCCGGTGTGACACACGGCAGCAGTACCGGTGAGCGGCGCCCACCGGGCCCGGGGTTCCTCGGAGCGCTGGGCTCATCACACCCCAGCACCACGTAGCAAAGCAAAGGCAGAGGCCCCAAGAATGAGCCTGTGTCGAGGGAAGCACCCAGCCCCTGACTCCCTGGCTGGCCCCCCCCGGCAGTCATGGGCTCTCCCCCGGTGTCCGGGGCCACCCCGGAGCCAACCTGGGCACCTGGACGACGCTAGGGTCTGCAGGGGATGGGGGGCAAACCCAGATTTCTCCTCAAAGAGCTGATTGTAGCGAGTCCAAGGGACAGGTAGGCAGTGGGTGGCTTCGAGGGGACCTCAGCCCCGCTGAAACCTGAGGAATGGGCTGTGGGATGAAGATGTAAAGCCAGGGGGAAGTGAGGGCCAGTAGGGGGACCAGCGGGTGCAAGCTCCGAGGGCCCTTACGAACGCTTTGTCCCAGGTTAACTGGGTCATCCTCGGCTCTAGCCAGAGCCACAGGCCCCTTCGTGGCTCCTGGAGCCTAAGAGCTTGGGGCGGGCAGGTGCGGGTGGCTCGGTGCCCCCCCAGGGGAAGTGGCCTGTCCCTGAGCCACCTGCTCTGCTGGCCCAGGAAGCTGCTCAAATCCACACTGGTGCTCATGCCGCTCTTCGGCGTCCACTACATCGTCTTCATGGCCACGCCATACACCGAGGTCTCAGGGACGCTCTGGCAAGTCCAGATGCACTACGAGATGCTCTTCAACTCCTTCCAGGTGCGCAGGCCTGGCCGAGGCCCGGCGGGGGAGGGAGGGCAGGGTGGGGCGGCAGGTGCGGCCTCTGGGCCCTGACCTCGAGCGCCTCTCTCCGCAGGGATTTTTTGTCGCCATCATATACTGTTTCTGCAATGGCGAGGTAAGCAGGGTGGGCAGCGCTGGGGCAAGGCAGGGGGGCTGCGGAAGTGCCAGGGTTCCCCAAGTCCTGTCCCTCCATTCTCCTGTCCAGTTCCTCTGTTCCTCCGAGAACATCCCTGAGGACATTCTGAAGGCAGAGAGTCTTTCCAGATGATTCAGGCTCAGGATGTGCTAGGATCTGCGGGCTCCTCAGGCTCTGGCAGAGCCCGTGTCTTCCCAGCCCCACGGTTGAAGGCTCCGTAATCCAGAGTGAACGACTCAGCCACCCCTGGGGCCATTTGAGCCTGGTAGACTCCGGGTGTGTCGGTTGCCTGCAGCCAGGCACCACGTTCTGAGGATAACGGGATTTTACTTGGCCTTGGAATTTTCCAGTAACATCCCACGCCTCCGGTTCCGCTCGGGAGCTGAGTGTTGTAGGGGCAGGGATGAGGGCACGGCTGGGGCTGGGGGCCATGTGGCAGAGGGCTGAGAGGCCTACCTGACGCCCCGCCCTCCTGCGGGCCATGGCAGGTGCAGGCCGAGATCAAGAAATCCTGGAGCCGCTGGACACTGGCCCTGGACTTCAAGCGGAAGGCCCGCAGCGGGAGCAGCAGTTACAGCTACGGCCCGATGGTGTCTCACACGAGCGTGACCAACGTAGGCCCCCGCACGGGGCTCGGCCTGCCCCTCAGCCCCCGCCTGCTGCCCGCCACCACCAACGGCCACCCCCCGCTGCCGGGCCACAGCAGGCCGGGGGCCCCAGCCCCCCAGGCCACACCACCTGCCGCGCCTGCTCCTAAGGACGACGGGTTCCTCAATGGCTCCTGCTCAGGGCTGGACGAGGAGGCGTCAGCGCCTGAGCGGCCGCCCGCCCTGCCACAGGAAGAGTGGGAGACCGTCATGTGATCCGGGACCCAGGCCAGGGTTGGACCCGTGGGCATAAGGGCTGACAGACGGACCAAGAGACGGGTGGTTGGACGGTTGCCCACTCAGGGCTGGGGCTGGGAAGACAAAAGAGGAAAAAAAAGAAAAAAAAAAAAAGAAAAGGGAAAAGGAAGCAGTGTGTAGCTTCCTATGGTCTGAGCTGGGGCTCAGGAGGGGAGAAGCAGGAGCCATGGAGCTGTTCCTGGGGTTCACCTCTGGAGGGGCTCCAGGGGCCAGGGGCCAGTCCCTGGGGGCCGGGCACAGTGCAGCAGGAAAGACCTGGGAGAAGTAAAGAGTCGCCCAAGTTTGCTGGGGTCACACGGGGGCCCAGAGGAGCCATGCAGGAGCTGGGCCACAGCCTCTCCCCGCCACCAGCTGCCACCTCCAATGCTTCTGCTGAGGTCCCGGGGTGGGTGGGGGGGACCCCGGCTCCTCTCGGCCAACTCTTCACCTGTTGCCCCGTCACTGTTCACCAAGGGCCAACCGCGGATCCCTGGGTCCCTGGCCCTGCTCCAGGCCCCTTCCTGCCTGTCTGGTGGCCATGCTGTGTCCCTTGGGGCCTGGGGCACTCAGGGGGCTCTCCACACAGGATCCCCAGCCCCCACCATGGATTTGACACGCCTCTGGCCACCAGACTGAGAGGGCAGGGAGCGTGCTGAGGCCATCAAGTGAGACGTGGGCTGAGGTCCACGCTCGGGCTCAGGAACTGTAGGGGAGCCTGGGGTCATCCCACAGGTCCGGCCGGGGTGAGGGCCTGCAGGACTCAGCACATCCACCCACCGTGGATCTGAGCCTGTCACTAAGCATCCCTAGCCCACACCCACCTGCCACATTAGCCACATTACTTGCCCTTCCTGGCCTGACGCTGAGAACTGACCCAACTGCATCCCCACCCCAAGCTCTGACCGGAACAAGCTTTCTTCTCAAGTCCGAGGACGGCCTTGCCCCCGGGCCTATACAAACTAGTGCCCCTGCCTGGCCCCGCGTGTCCTCATCTCCAGCGCAAACTTGTTCTTCTCCGTGGACTCAGCATCTGGAAAGCTCCCCCCATCTCGAACAGCACCCCCACCCCACTGGGGACTGGGTGAGGCATCATAGGCAGTGGGTGGCACAGATGTACTCTGAGCAGCCTCAGGCCCAGCAGTGCCTTCCCTTCCAGATGGCAGGTAGGGCAAAGAGTTGCCCAAAGGCCCGGTGCACCCATGGGGCTCCACGCGGTGTGACGTGCTTGGAACGCTGAGAGAGACGTGGGCCAGGACTTGAAGGGCCACTGAGCCAGTTTAAGCATCGAGGATTCCTGTGAATGCTGGGAGCTATTGGAAACTGTACAGGGAGAGCAACCCAGGTCTGAGCCACATTCAGAAGAGTCCCTGCTTCACTGGAGAGGCCAGAGGAGGTTACTCAGGCCTCAGGGGAGAGGTAACCTTGTGGGAGGAGGTAGCAGGCAGGAAGGACCCTGCATGAGGCACTGGCTGGGAGAAGGAGACCCAAGTAGAACAGACCCCCATCCCCTTCCCAGGGGTGTCTGTGTGATGCCACATCTTCAGGGCTCAGAGCTACGGGACCTCTGGGAACCTCATCCCCCCCACCCCACAGGCAGTCCCTGAGGCCACTAGCTGGCTGGGCCCCAGGGCCCCATCTTCCAACCCAGACTTCTCCTCAGGAGGCTTCTGAAGTAGAGTCCATGAGGCCCACTCCCCCTGAAACACTCAGACTGGGTACCCCTAAGACAGGGCTGTCTTCCCCCTCAGACTAGGTGCCCCCAGGACAGAGTTGAGCCTCTCCTCTCAGACCGGATTCCCTCTAGGACAGGGTTTAGTCACTTCCCACAGACCAGGGACCTCCATCCCAGGACAGGACTGTGCTCACCCCTCAGAGTGGGTGCTCCCCCAGGACAGGGCCGTGCTCCTCACACAAGATGCCACCCCCCAGACAGGAGTGTGCTCACCCCTCAGACTGGATACGCCCCAGGACAGGGCCAGGCCTCCCCCTTTAGACTGGGAACCATTTCTGGGATGTCCAGGACAGAACTGGACCTTACACCAGTCCAAGGCCCTAGGCCAGGACCCTCCTCCCTTTGACCTGGAGCCCTAGGTCAGGGCCGGCCTTCCCGCTCAGAGAGGCCCCTGAGCAGCGCCTGGGCCATCCAGGTGTTGGCAGAGGAAGTGGGAGCCCTCAATGGGCCTGGCAGGCAGTCAGGACCTTGTTTGCTTGAGCAGGAGCTGGAGCCAGGTGGTCACTTCTCCCTTCAAGGCCTCCCAGCCCAGCCAAGCCGCAGGGAACACGTAAACACCAGCCGAGCTGAGCGCGGGCAGGCAGGGAGGAGGGCACCGAGAGACCCCAGCTCCTCAGCCTCCTTGGCCAGGGTGTCTGCCACCTCATGGGCTGCCCTGAACTCCAAGTGGGGCCAGTAAGGCGGGCCTCAGCTCCCACCTGTCTTGGGCATGTGAACAGGCCCTGCCCTCTCTGACCGGTCTTCCCTCAGCTCTGACTGGGAGAGGAACCTCTGAAAACCCTTGGAAGGAATGTACCTCCCGCTGGGGGCCTCTGGAACCCAAGGACAGGCCCCAAGGCTGGGTGAGATCATAGATCCCAGCTCAGAATGGGGCCTCCAAGGGGCAAGGGGCATCAGATGGCTCTGTCCACCCTCAACCTGCAAGCCTTTTGAGAACAAAGATGCAGCTGGGCCCCGCACGCCCACCCAGAGTGGGCAGGCTGTGACAGCCTCACCCTTCTGCCCTCACCCTAGGGAGGTGGGAGGGAACAGCACAGACACAGGGGAAAGGAGACTGAGTTCTCTGGAAGTTCAGAAGGGACATGACCCTGCCCTAGGGGGTCTTAAGGGGGACACAGCCCTGCTCTGATGATGTGTGAGGGGCCATGACCCTGCCCGGGGGCCTGAGAGGGTCCAGGCTCTGCCTTGGTTGTTATAAGAGGTCTGGCCGGGGTCGGGGGATGCGGTCCATCAGAGGGGTCGGTCAGGAGCCGTGGGGCTTGCTGCACAACTCCTGCACATGGACTGGGGTGGGCCCAGCTGCTTGACCCTCATGCCTCCTCAGCCAATTCCAGAATGATCCCAGCCTGAGGTTCCCATGGCCAACGGCAACAAGCCCTGGCTGGGGCAGAAGAGCCTCCTCTTGGGCAGAGGAGGGGACTCCAGAGCCAGGCAGGGGCCTGGACCCTGGCTGGCTCCCGGGTGTGCTGTGTGATCCTGGGCAAGCTGCCTTCCCTCTCTGAGCCTCAGCTTCTCCTCTGAGGTCAGGCCCTTGTCCAGGTCTCCTGGCCTGTGTGGGCTCAGCACACAGCATCCCGCTCCTTAGTGGGCCCCTAGGACACAAGGCCAGGACATCCCCAGTGACAGGTTCCCTCCTTCTTCAGTGTCACAGTCATGCAGGCTGTGGGGGCCGAGAGGTGGTGGGTGTGGATTCTGCGCTCCTCCCCGTCCAAGGGCTGGGGATGGAGTAGAGGGGCCAGGGTCTGGGAGGCAGAAGAGGCAGAAGACCAGATTCCAGCCTTTCATTTTGGCCTCAGCTTTCCAAATCTGTGGGTGAGGGGAAGGAAGGCGGCTGCATTAATTATGCGCCTACTGTTTAGGCCCCCTTCCCCCCACCCCCAGCAGTTTTAGGGGAGATAGAGAGGTTTCAATTCCCCTAAAGGCTTCCGATCACATTTCTCAGACGGAAACACTGGGGTGGGGGCTGTGGGGAGCTCTGCAGATGAGCAGCCCTCATGGGGTCCTGCTGGCTTTGTTTCCCAATGGGGAGGAGGAGGGGACAAGGCCTGGCTGGGAGGATGGGGGGCAGGGCAGGGAAGGGCAGGCTTGTGGCCACCCCAAGCTGCCTTCCCAGAGCTCCAGGACCTGTGGCTGCAAACTCTTCAGCTCCCGAGGCCTTGCCCCTGCTCCTCGCGTTCCCCTCGGCTGGAGACCCTCTCCTGGGAACCCTCTCCCCAGCATGTATCAGTCAGGGGACGGCCTTGATGTGAACCGCCCAGAGGCCACACGGGCAGGCTCTGCTCCCCCACCAAGCTCACCCACATCAGTGAGACAAAGGGATGTGTGTGGGGCTGCTGGGTGTGTCTATTTGTATTAGTGTATGTATACTGGTGTCTATTTATTTGTATTTATGTATGTATATGTGTGTGTCTGTTCATATATGTGGCTGTTGTGTCCGTCTGACTGTGTCAGTCAGTGGATCTACCCGATCACGTACCTGTGTCTGTGTGTACGTGTATATGGACGTGGATGTCCATTTGCACGTGTCTACCTGTGTGACTGTATTGTGTATCAGTGTGCCTGTTTGTATTTGTTTGCATGTGTGTCTGTATACGTGTGTGTCTATTTGTGTGTGTGTGTGTGTGTCTATGTGGACCTGTGGTCTGAGAACGCCGCCTGTGGGTGGAATTTGGCCCGGGGACGTGTTTGGTTTGGCCCTCACAGTATTTTCAACATCTTGAGCCAACATTTAAAAATCAGGATATTTCACATAAAAACTCAGCTTTCCAGTTTCTCTTAAAAATTCAGAAGCCCTGGCAGCCCTGGCCCGTGTTCCCATGAGGCTACTCTCCTCCAGAGCTCACGGGGGCTGCCCAGCCGCCTGCCCCCTCACCGCTCGTCTCGCCTACCAGCGCCTTGAGGATGACTGAGTTTGTGACCCCGGAGTGTGTGGTCACAACTGCGTGTAAGCCGAGCTGTCAGGGAGCGTGGGCACCAACTGAGTCTGCGCTGGGGGGTGCGTACTTGTGATCGCACGTGCGTGCACAAGGCACATCTGAGTGCAGGGGAGACATGTGGGGGCCTGCACGCGCAGGGGTGGGTGGGAGGCACTGTGCGTGCAGGGGTGTGCGTGTGAGAGTGCGTGCGGGCACACGTGTGTGCGCGTGGGGGTGTGCGTGGCCGTATTCGTGGCCATGTGGGGTGTGTGGCCCACTGTGGTCTGGCACGCTCTGCGCAGGCACCTCTTCCGGCCTTTGATGGGGAATTGGATTCCCGGCTTCTGGCTGGGCTGCCTTGTGGGATTTATTTCTGTCTCAGTGCCGACCAGAGGCCTGAGTAATGGGAACATTTAGGGAAAACCAGTAAATACATAGAGAAGGGGCAGGCTGGCCGGGAAACTCTGCTTGGCCACCCCTGCCCAGCCCACGGCCGCCAGAGGCCCTGAGGCCGGGCCTGAGCCAGGGAGGGAAGCAGCCTTAGGACCTGGCATGCGCACTCATGCAGAACGCCCACTGATGCCCATGCAGGCCCATCAAGGGGGGTGAGCCCCCCTATGCCACCTGGATGGCCCCTGGGACAACAGGCATCTTGGGAGCTTGGCTCCAACAAGAGGTGCTCAGGACAGGCTCCGAGGATGCCACGTGAGGTCTGGCTTAGGGGCTAAGGGGCCCTGACCGTCCCACGCAGACGACAGAGGGTCCACATCCCTGGGTATTCTGTCCACAGATGCCTCCCACAGGTGCAGACCCTCCCACAGGAGGCCTGAGGCTGTCTGTGACTGGACAGGGCTGGTGCTGCCCCCAGAGTGGAGGGCCTGGTGCCTGGAACCTGAGTAAGGCCAGCGGGGGGGTGGGGGGGGGCAGGAGGTGCCGCAGCTCTCCTAGGACACGGCCCCCACTGTTCTGGGTTTCACGCCGACGGAGCGCCACTCGGGATCATCTTTCATATCAGCCGCCTAAATGACACAGGCCCCATGGGGAAGGACAGACCGCTTTCTCTGGTGGGGTGATGCGCATTACGGAAGACCCAATTGAGCGGCAGGAAAATGGGCTGCGCCGACCCACACTCCCTTCCAGGGGCCCCGGGTCGGTGTCTTCTGCTGCCCCCCAGCGGCCATAGGAAGAAGTGGGGAAATGAGGCTGCCCGAGCCTTGTCCATGCAGTCTCCAGGCTGGGTGGACTCGCAGGGCCCTTGAGGCCCCAGGTCCCAGCACTCACGATGACCCACTGTAATGCCCAGCCAGACGGCTCTAGGGGAAGCGAGGTCTTCCAGGCTGGTCTGAGGGAGGGGCTCGCCTCCCACCACCTCCCGGAGGTCAGCTCCGGGAGGGCAGGAGATCATCGGATTCACAGCCGCATCATCAGCCCCTAGTGCGGTGCCCCGCGCGAGGTAGGTGCTCAGGGAGCAGATCTGAATCCCCAGCTCTTATAGGGGTGGGCAAGCTTGCAGCTAACCCTGGACATGGCTCAGAGCTCCACAGAGGGGCCCCTGAATGCAGGTGAGCAGGCATCTCACACTAGAGCCCCAAAGGTGGTGAGCAGAAGCATGCACCCCAACAAGGGACTTGGCTGGGAGGATAGGCAGACTCCAGGGGACTAGACTTGCCCAAACTGGGTGCCTTCAAACTCTTGACTGCAGCCTGCTGGGCTAGACAGAATTTCGCCTTGTAACTTTAGGGGCTGTGCACTTTCTCTGACCCCAAGCCTGCTGTTCCTCACCGTGGTACAGGCCCTGTACCAGCCCCTGGGGGCCTATCCCCGCGATCCCAGGTACAACTTCCTCCCGGCCCTCTTGCTGCACCCTTTACCCAGAGGCACCAAGCCTTGGTCTCTGGGCCAGCAGGTCCTGTCCTCCTGTCCTCTGCTGGGGAAGGGCTGTTGCTGAACAACCCAGGCCTGACACCTCTCCAGAGATGACCCGGAGGCCAGATGTCCCCAAGGATTTCAAGCAGGAGGGACCTGAAGTGTTGGGAGGTCAGTCGGGGCTGTCCTGGAGAAGTGCCTGGTGAGCAATGGGCACATGAAGGCTTCCTCCAACCACAGAGGTGGGCACTGGTCCTTGCTCATTCCCTCAGCCCTGTGACAAGGGGGGCTGCTGGGGCCTGAGAGCCCATGCCCTGCCCCTGCAACCAAGGCCAAGACTTGCTGTGACCAACGCTGAAAATCTGATGTCACAGGACTCTAGAAAACTTACTGTGTCTTATTTTTAAAATACTTTTTTAAAATACACAATTTATTACCATGTTTTACCATTCTTTGTTCACTGCTGAAAACATCTCAAAACTCTTTATTTTGAAATAAATATAGATTCAGAGGCAGTTAAAAAGGTAATACAGAGCAGTCCTGTGTCCCACTCACCCAGCCTCCCCCGACGGCTGCCCCTTCCTAAACGGCAGAATATCAAACCCAGGATCCTGACGTCGGCACAATGTGTGCACAGCCCCCTCCCAGTTTATCACATACACAGATTTGTGTCATCACCAGTGCAACCAAGAACTATTCTATCCCCTCCAAGAGCTCCCTCAGCTACCCCTTTATACATAGTCACACTTGCCCCTACCATTCCTAACCCCTGCACCCACGGATCTGTTCCCCAGGTCTAGGATTTTGCCATTTCAAGGATATTACAGATAGGGAATTGTACGGGACGTGATCTTTATATATAAAGTTATGTATGTGTCTGCTTCACTCAGTGTAATGCCCCTGAGCTTCACCCAAGCTATCCGCTTTAATCAACGGTTGTGTTCCTTTTTATTGCTGAGTAGTATTCCACGGTACAGATGCAGCGGTTTAACGGGGCACCTATTGAAGGACATTTCGTGGTTGGTCTGTTTCTTCACAGAATAAAAACTTAATTTTCCACTCCATTACTCCCTAAAGTACAGGACCAACCGAAGGAATGCCCTCGTACACTGTTTCCCGTATGTCAGAAATTTATTACCATACTTATTTCACCCATTTTTGTGTAATATTTTAATTCCAAAATGAAGGATGGGAAATTATATGAAGACCATGGTTTTCATCTGATGATGACTTGGAAACCTCCATTGAACTAGAGATGGGGGCTCTTTTGTTTTAACTGACGTATCCTGGACAAGAAATGCAAATTATCTAGCATTCAATAAGCAATAACACATATGACATTGTTTTCTCCTAGCTTTTAGTGATCATAAAGAAAGCGGTTATGAACATTTGTGTAGACAGTCTTTATTTCTCTGGAATAAATGCCCAGGAGGGGTGTGGTTGCTGGGTTATACGGTAAGCATATGCTGGTTTCTTAAGAAACTGCCAAACTATTTTCCAGAATAACTGTATCATTGACAGTCCCACCAACAATGTACTAGAGATTCAGCTTCTCTACATGCTTGCCAGCATTTGGTATTTTTTACTTAAGCTGTCCTAATAGGTGTGTAATGATGTCTTATCATGGTCTTCATTTGCATTTCCGTAACGGCCAGTGATGCTGAACATCTCTCATGTGTTTATTTGCCATTTATATACCCTGTTCTGTGAAATGTTTCTCTTGCCCATTTTCCAATTGGGTCCTTCCATTCGTCCTTCCTTCCTTCCTCCCTCCCTCCCTCTCTCCTTCCTTCTGTTGTGAAAGTTCTTTATATATCCTAGATTTGAGTCCTTTATCAGATACGGGATTTGCAATTTAGTCTGTAACTTTTCATTTTCTTAATAGAGTTTTTGTTGGAGAAAAGCTTTTCATTTTGGTTAAGTCAAATTTATTTTTTTCTTTATGGATGTGCTTCTGGGTCTGGTGTTCAAGAACTCGTCACCAAGTTCTAGGTCCTGAAGATTTTCTCCTAAAAGTTTTTATAGTTTTACACTTCACATTTACACCTATGACCCACTTTAATTTCTGTATATTGTCTGGCTGGGCTTTAGGTTGGGGTTCTTTTTTTGGCCTATGGATATCCAATCACTCCAGCACCATCTGCTGAAGCCTATCCTGCCTCCCGTGAGCTCGTTCTGCACCTTTGTCAAAAATGAGTTGGCCGTACTTGTTTGGGGCAACTTGAGTTCCCTACTCTTTTCCATTGATCTATGTGTCTACCTCTCCACCAACATCCCCCCCACCTTGATCACAGGGGGCTTAAAATCATGAATTCAGGGGGTGCCTGGCTGACTCAGTAGAGCATTACTCTTCACCTTGGGGTCGTGAGTTCCAGCCCCACATTGGGTGTGGAGAGGACTTTAATAAATAATAAACTTTTAAAATCACGAATTCAATATCCTTAGTAGTTATGGCTATGCAAGTTATCTATTTCATCTTGGGTGAATGGTGGTAGTTCGTGCTTTTCAAGGAACTGGACCATTTCATCAACTTTTCAAATTGATGTGGACATCTACAGTATCCCCTTATTGTCCTTCTGAGGTCTGTGGGGTCGCCAGGTTTGCCTTACTGCATTCCTAATATTCGTAACTTGTGTCCTTGTCAGTCTTGTTAGAGGTTAGTCAATTATTGATTTTTGCAATGTTTACCAGTTTCTTTGCTCACCACTTCTTCCTGCATCCTGCTGGCTGCCTTCCCAGGACTCTTTTCTACCCTTCTTCCTTTCTCGTGGAACCTCAATGTCAATCACGGTGGCAGTGTGCCCAGCTTAAAATACCCTTACTCCCCACACGTCTGCAGCGAGGGCTGGATGTGACACAGTCATGGCTGATCAGATGTTAAGGCGAGCCTGGGGGACTGACTGGGCTTGAAGCCACCGTTCCCTCAGCTGGCTTGCCCCTTGCCCTTCCCCCTCCTGCCAACAGCTCCCACCTGGGGGTGCGTAGGCTCCTAGGGGAGCTAAGGACAGCAGCTGGGGAGACAAAAGGGACCTGTGTCCTTCAAGCCACTGTATGGCCATGGACTTCACACAAGAATAAAGCCCTCCTGGTCTGAGATCCTGTTTGTGAGCGTCTGCCAAATGTAGCCCTGATTCTCCCACCCCTCTCCGGGCTCCCACCACGGCTCCTCTTGCTCGGGAGCTTTCCCTACTAGTTCCTCCAGCAAAGATCTGTGCATAGTCAACACTTGGTATCAGAAGCCCAAAAACGTCTGGCCCTGATGATGGACGATAAGCAAGAAGACTGACATTTCTGTTTCCTCAGCACTCAGGAAAAAACCTGTCTTGGGAGTGTTTACTACTGATGAAAATG